AATATGTTTCAAACAGGGCTACGACAAAGTTTTCCACTCGTCCCCAAAAACTCAATGGTTGTTTGCGTTCGCTGAACAAAGTCGGCACATAGGCGGGCTCTATTGGATTCTTAACCAAATTGTGTACGGCGAAAATCGGTTGGACCATAAACGAGAGCACAATTGGAACTTTAAAGTGTGCACCCAAACCTAAATGAAAGTCGTTCATGAAGTAACCCAAAATGAGCATATCAAAGCTGCCTTCACCATGTGTGGCCAGGAATTGACGCAAACGCGGATTGGCAAAAGACTGATTTGCCAACTGTGCGACCTCCTTAATGAAATATGGATAGCGTGCGATTAAAGATTGCTCTTTTGTAACCAAACGACTTAGGAACTCCTTTGGAAACAGCGGTAAATCCAATTGTATGTAATTGTATTTCGTCAACTTGTAAGGATTCTTGGTCGAAGACAGTACAGTAACATTGTGTCCGGCCTCGGCAAGCGCATTCGCGATGCCACAATGTATAAAAAGATGTGATGGTGAAACTGATGGAAAGAAACCAAGAATACGTGCGGAATACACCAAAGCTGGAGGCGCGTTGAAACCGCCAATAACGAGGACGATAAATATTGCGATAGCAGCGCGTACAGACATGTCTAAAGCACGACAAAGCTCTGAGTTACTGTGTGGTTCGCGTGTCTAAAGGTGACTGAGCGGTTATTAATTTGCGTACATCCATATAGATTTTAATTTTATTAGTTAGGACTATGCCTAGAAAATATTTACCCAGGGATTAGCACTTACTGATACCGCTCAACGATGTTAATCAAACAGAACTTGTAAGATCAGCCATTAATCGTGATATTTCCTTATGCCGTTGGCTGCTGTGTAAATCAAGCTGTATGCTGTGAGTAAAGAGTACAAAGGCAGGGTGTTGGAAAAGGCTTAGCGTTGGCGATAAGGTGTCTTAAATAGAGTATACGCTGAGATTTCAGTACGGTCGAACTAGTCTTTGAAACAAAGAGCCGTTGATTTACGTTTTTAGTAAGATAAGAGGGAATAAATTTCTAATTCCTTTCACTAACGTATAAAATATGAGAAGTTGAATACCCTTTAAAAATTTATCACTAGTTTTTAACGAGTAGAGTAGAGATTATTTATATCTTGTCTTGAACTTGACATTTGTTTTTCCAAACATTTGGTATATCTTTGTTTGATTTCTACAATCTACACTTAACCACGCATAGTTTGTACACAATTCACTTAGAGCAAAGGTTACTACTTTAACCTTCCCAGTAGCACCCTAGTAAAGCCAAGCGATACGGTGAATTCAGTAATCTTGAATATTTGTTGTTAACCTACTAAGTATAAGCGGTCTCACTACCTCGACAGAATTCTTTCTGTTTAATACACAATCTCATAGTAGGTCGGCAGCAAAAGAACTCACTTATAGTATTTACTTCCGTGATAATCCTGCATTTTCTGGATCACAATTTCTTCGATCATAGCGACAATCATGTTCTTCACACGTTCCAAAAACTTCATTGGCTGCACCAAATAGCCAAATATACCCGGCACGTAAGCGGTCTCACTGGGATTGCCCACGAATTTGTTTACTGCATAAATCGGCTGTATCATGAAAGATACTACAATGGGGCAACGGAAATGCGCCGCCAAACCCAATTGGAAATCGTTCATGAAATAACCGAACAGCAACAAATCAAAGTCGCCCGCATGATGTTGCCGTAGAAATTGTTGTACGCGCGGGTTATGGTGTGTTTCATTGGCATTCCGATTAATCACAGCTAAAAAGGAACCGAAACGCCGCCAAAACGGCTTTGGTTTGTCGACAATATCGCTGGACATGAGTGGATGGTCGCCCATGATTTCCAATTCGATATATTTGTATTTCGCCTGCTGACGCACATTCGGCCCGGACGCGATGACGGTGACGTCATGACCAGCCTGCGCTAGCGCATCAGCGACGCTGCAATGCACAATTATGTGCGACTTCGAGGGCGACGCGAAAAAGCCCAGTATGCGTGCTGCCTCAACGCAGGCCATCGGATGTACGCTGAGCACACAAGAGAGTGCGGTGAGGGCAGCGGGTAGCCAATTGGTGTATTTAGCACGCCGGCTCATTCTTTGGCTTTTGTTTTATTTTTATATTTTCCTTTTTCACTAATAAACAAACACTTTGTAACGTGTTTAGATTTCGGCGCGCGTGAAGTTGTGCGCGTTTGCACTATGTGTCGAATACTAAGTTGTGGAACTTGTTTTCGGTTAGAATAAATACGCTGTAGGTAACAGATGGTAGACGCAGCTGATACTTGAAATTTTGAGACATATATGTAGCAAACCCCCATTATATTTTTATTACTCGTCTGATAGTGTGTTTGGCTGTGTCAACCTATTGGTGAGGCAAACATATGCTGAGGTGTTGTGGACTGATACATTTAGGATCGGTGCTGGTTATTTTTTGTAAAATAATTTTAATTTAATAATTTTCATAAAATATTTTTTGTTAAAAAAAGAGTTATTTGTATCGAGGTAAATTACACTTATCGGCTTGCATCATTGAGGATGGAGTCAAGTGAGGAAATTTATCTGATTGCCATTCACTTGAGAGTGGCCAGAAACTATTCTTTTACATATAGTATAGCTATCAAGTGGCTAGCCTTAAAACATCCGTTTTAAGGCGAGCTAAAATGAGAAGGCGAAACATCCTCTCCACAGGATTGTGCGCTGGGTTTGGGACCGGGCCCCCAGTTTCAAATAAAATATTGCACTACTTTTGAGTAGTAAAATTATTCACTATGCCAAGCTTTTTAACTATTTATGTGATAGTCTTTGAAACAAAAATTAATTTGCTGTTGAAACTGCTCGAATTTTCACTACTGGGATATAGTCAAAAATAAAAAAAAAGTTACCGAATACACGTTGCTTCTAATGGATCGTTCGTTACCGAATAGAGAGTTTTCCGGGGAAACGAAAAAAATCGCCAATGTTCAAAGACCTTTGAGATGAAAGGTTGTCACATTTATTACTCGTGCCTGTATTGGCATTCGCCTTTAAACATATTTACGTTGTTGAGAGTAATTAAAAAACCTGTACGCGCGTAAAACTGAACTCCTCCAATAATTAAAAATAAACACGAGGCAAAATAAACGCTCTAGTCAAAATTAATTGAACTTTGTGTTATATCATATATAACTATAAGCAGCTGACTAATGATAGTAGAGAGCACATGTATGCCATGCAGTTAACCATTACACAGTCTAGTGACTGAGCAAACAAAAATATTCTATATAAAACACAGAATACATATGTAGTACAACAGCTAATCTGGGGGGTGAGAAATTTCAAGTCAGGGTGATGGTACTAAGTCAGTATAGTAAAACCCTCAAAGGGTTTGCGTTCGTATGTGTCAGTTTTGTTTATGACCTTTTAAATTTTTTCCTTCACATGGTTTGCCATCTTAACAAATTAATTTTTTCCAATTATCCATACTAAATGGTCCAGATATACGAAAGTTGATTAAAAGTGACGCATTCAACAATATTTTGATTGACGCTGAATTGAATGCATGGCAGGCAATCAAAGAAGTAATAGAAGGCTTGTTCGGAAAGCATCGTTCTAACAACTACGAGGTTTCTGTCGCAAGGATGTTAGAAGCATTCTCGGAATTTTTTTAATTTTTTATTTTGTTTGCCAAAATGTTACAACTAAGCGAAAAAACATCAAGATGAGGAAAAAATTCAAAGGTCATAAAAAAAAACTGACACATACGAACGCCAAACCCTTTGAGGGTTTTACTATACTGACCTAGTACCATCACTCTGACTTGGAATTTCTCTCCCCTCAGACAATAATCCCAAAAATGTTCCACAGTGTTATAATATGTCGAGAATTGGCTTTATGAGCTTCACTAGCAGTTTACATTTGAGCCAGGCAGAGATTGTAACCCATAAGCGCCGTCCTTTGTAAGAATATGTTCTTTCTTAGGTTCAGGAATCCCAAAGATATTACCACATAATTATTGACACTGTCGTTTTTCGAAATTTCAATTTCAACTAGATCTGTATTTTACAATATATCGCTACTTAGGCGCAGCACTTCTTCAATTTATCTCTGAAATGATCATTAATTAATTATGTAAACTTAAAAAATGTGAATTTGCAGTATAGAGCTGTCTCTTATACACATCTAGATGTGTATAAGAGACAGGTATTTTACAATATATCGCTACTTAGGCGCAGCACTTCTTCAATTTATCTCTGAAATGATCATTAATTAATTATGTAAACTTAAAAAATGTGAATTTGCAGTATAGAGTGATGATTTTGGACTGACGGACTTACTTGTAAATGTTTGTTTGAAAATGTATACCGAATTCTGACATAAGCAACTCCATTCCTATGGAAATAAAATTTTTCACACGCGACACGAAATTCATCGGTTGTCTTTGATTTCCCAACACATTCGGTGTGTACGCAATCTCGGTAGGATTGCCAATCAAAGAGTTGAGTGCCATAACTGGTTGTATCATAAAAGACAGAATTAATGGACATTGAAAATGCGCCGCCAAAGCGAAAGTGGCATCGTTCATAAAGTAACCGATTATGACCAGATCAAAATCGCCTGGGCCGTGTTCCCGCAGCAAACGTTGCACACGCGGATGTGTTAGGGAATCGTTCGATGCAGTGGCGATCATCTCCACTATTTTACCGAATTGTTTATAAGCCGGCGACGAACCCATCACCAGGCCCGCGACGAAGCTTTCATTTGTTTTGCGCTCAAGCTCTATATACTTGTACTTCGCCTTGGGAATCACATTTTTGGAAGCGCCGTAAACAGTAACGTTGTGTCCCGCTTGCGCTAGCGCGTCGGCGACTGCAGCATGTATGATCAGATGAGATTTCGAGAATGACGGAAAGAAGCCCAGTATGCGCGCGCTGTTTGTCAAATCGAAACGCGTGGCGGCAAAACCGATAAACAGCAGCAGGCAACAGAATCTTAAAGGCAACATGACGAATGCAAATTGTACTACGTTCTACACGTTCTACTCGTTCCAACGTACAAATGACAACTGAGCGCTATTTAAAATTGGAAGCAATTATATTAATATATTGAATGTTGGTTGAGCACATCGGTGGAAATTGATAAGTTTTATGTAACTATTTATTTCTAATTTCTTCACTATCTAACACTATCGGCAGGTGGTCATGATTGGCAAAGTTCGTTTGTGTAAATATACTTTGTAGGTTAATATTTTGACCTTACTGATGTAATAACTGAACTGAGAGCCGAAAGAATCTTAGCTATCTTTGTGATGACTGGCAAAATTCAGAACTAAGCGTTTTGCCATGAATCGCGAGCGTCGCGTGTTTCTCTCGTTCATTACACTTCAAGTGAGCGCCAATCACAAAGCCATATACGTACAGTATGTTTATTAATTATTGGGAACTTACAAGCAATATCTATTTGTATTCTACGTTCGGAAAATCAACTAACTCTTTACTCAAAGGAATTAAAAAAAAAAAAAGCTACCGTGTGCTGAAAAATCAATATGCCCAATATATATGTAAAATTGTTGCGCTGACGTTAGGCGTTGCTGCCTTAGATCCTAGTTAAAACAACTGTTTAAACTACAGAATGAATATAAAAAAAAAGGTCTCTCTCAGAGTTGATTTGCGGAAAATAAAATATATACATATATATAACGGCCTTCGGACGTTTGCCATATTCAACCTATATTAAAAAAGAGTGTCAGGAATCTATACGATTACCACAAATTTTAACGAAATGTCCTGCTCGAGAACAGTTACATTATACCATGAGCTCCTTTTTCAAAAAGAGGAAAAGTAAACGAAGTTCTCTGCGCCCTCTTACCATATATTCTCAATGTTATGAAGATTTTCTTTGATTACCAGGCTGCTTAGAGTCTTGAACTTCTTTAAACTGCCCGAAAGACAAGTTTTATGTCTACCTTCTCTACATGACTACTTTGGCAAGCGTTATGAGGGTAGTTATTTAGGTTGTTGTTGGGGTAAATCTTTCACAATAATACAAATAACTTTCATTCTAGACACTTACTTGTAGAATTCTTCCATTGATGTCTCTATTGAGCCATACAGCATCAAACATTCAACAAGGTACCACAAAAAGTTATTCACTCGTTGAAAGAAACTTAATGGTTGCACCATACCGCTCAACTGTGTAGGCACATAGGAAATCTCATCGGAGTTCCCCACCCATCTATGTATCCTTTTCATAGGCTCCATCACATAGAACATGACTATGGGGCATTTGAAGTGTGCGCCTAAGCCAAGATGGAAATCGTTAATTAAATAAGTCATGAGCAATAGATCGTAGTCGCTTTCTTGAGAGTTTTGTAAGAAATGTTGCATTTTCGGCTGTACCAGGGTTGCATTATGTACACGTAACATGGGTTGCACTACGCCCAAGTATTTATATGTCGCCATGTTTGGTATATTTATTAAAGTTTTAGTCAATTCATTGCTAATCGCCAGTCCATCGATTCGTAGGTAACGGTATTTAGCGCGCGGGTAAACGTTCGTGGTGGCACCAAGTACAGTTACATTGTGGCCGGCTTCGGCCAGTACCTCGGCCAACGCACAATTCATTAACTGATGCGAACGCATTGTGGTGGGAAAGAAGGCTAGTATGCGAGCGCATTCTCCGCTGAAAAGGCTGCTAGAGAGCACGAACAAAACCCTGAACGCGACAAATGACATAGAAACAGCTGTCACTGCTAATAAATTTATTAACTGCACGCGAGCACGGAAACAAGACTACTAAGTGGCCTGTGGTTTTTTTCACACCACCTACAAGTACCTGATATATGATAAGCGCTCTCCAATATCGCGATATCAGTTTATTGTTTTTTAAACCTTATCTAATGTTTTTTATTGGTTTCTGAAAGGGTTCAAATTATTTCAATAGTTTAGTTTGGTTTTATGTAATCAAAGAATTGTAAATACATAGTAGTGCAATATAAGCCTAAATATTGATCACCTACAAGATCACCTTACAGAGCTTATGTTATTTTTTATTTGCTTAAGCCACATTACCGCAATCATCCGTTACTCCAAAAAATTTTATTTTTCTTCTTATACAGAGCTAGCTCCTTATAAAAGCACCACATGATCCTCAGATCGCATTACTTCCATCCTTGATAGTCGCTTATTCTTATATAGAACAAACGTCCTACAAGTACACCTCAAGATCCTCAGATTCTATCACTTCAAGCCGTGATAGTCATTTAAGTGGTGATCAAACACTTTACTTATATAGAGATAGCTTCTTACAATATCACCTCAAGAATTCACATCACTGAAAACTTTGATAGTCAGTTAAGCACTGGATAGAGAGGCCTTCTGCTTCATGGTACTTACGAGTAGAACTAACTGTCCGCAAGATCGAAGTTCGACGAAGTTTGACTACGTTTACAGTACCTATAAGATTTCAAACTATTCGTTTCTCTTACTTGTAAATCTTCAGCATATTTATTTCAACAATCGGCAATACGATCCATTCCTCATAAAAGGCAGCCAAAAAACTCAAGACACGTCCCCAAAATGTCAGCGGGGCTTTTAGTTCACTGAACAGCGACGGCACATATGCGCTCTCCGACGGATTTCCGACCAAACGATTAATAGAAGAGACCGGCTGGACCATAAAGGATATAATAATCGGACAACCGAAATGTGCGCCAAGGCCCATGGCGAAATCATTGGCTGCGAAGCCTAGCAGTACCAAATCAAAGGCGCCTGCACCATGTCTGCACAAGAAATCCTTCATCTTCGGATGGCTTAGCGTTCGATTGGCGGTGTTGGCAAAAGATTGCACAAAATTGAAAAAGTTGAAATAAAAAGATTTCGGTTTCTTGACCATATTTTGCAATACGTTTTGATGGGATTCTGTAGCTTCGGTCAGTTTGATTTCTATGAATTTGTATTTGACATTTGGATAGACGTTCTTCGAGATTCCGATAACGGTAACATCGTGGCCAGCGCGTGCCAAGGAATCGGCGATGGCGGCGTGTATGAGTGTGTGCGACTTAGATGGCGTCGGAAAGAAGCCGAGTATACGCGCCGCGTTTATGTGGCTACTGCAAAATGCTAGGCAGAGAAGAATCGAAACGTGTAGGGCGAATATTTTGCAAACGTTCATTTCCGTTACTTTTTTACATTAACTGACGAAAAGTTTAAATCATACTAAATGCTTTTCTAATATGCGCCATGTGATATACTAGTTACTGTGTAAATATAATTATTTACTTAATACAGTGAGAAGGTGTCAGCTGATAAGCGCGTTTATGGAATATGTAAGAAATTGTTTTGGGTAGCTTAACAAGTTACTTTAACTGTAGCTACGCAAAAAGACGGATTGCCTAGAAAGTACAATGTTGTGTTTAGTCGTATGTGGCCTCTGATCGAGGTGAATGAGTGGCCATTCAAATTATTCTCCATTAAGAACTATAAGCTTTTGCTTGAGTTTGTATGCTGGTTCTTCTAATACCTGTGGTTGCTATGGTCTCACCATAGGTCAGAGGACGATTCGGCAATATTAATTTGAGCACCGCATCAATAGTTTCCGGAACAACAATTGATTTTGGTTGACCTTCATGAAATCCACCTTGGAGTGATTTAAGACCTCGATTGCATTCACTTTACCATCTTGAAATAGTGGTCCTAGATGGATCTTTATCACCAAAAACTGAGTTAAGTTCATTTATGCATTTTTGCTGAGTTAAAATTTGTAAAAAATATATTTTGGCTGAGATGAATAATTTAAGTTACTGTTAACCACACAATAGCAAATGTCAAACTTTACGATAAAGTTGTCAGTTGCCAGATAGCAAGATTGTGGTTTCCACATCCCGAAATATGAAAGGCAAACTACGCATTGTATCTAACTTCATACTGAGCATATGTCGCATAAACTTCAAAACAATTCTTATATCTTGAAAACTATATGAGTTGCTTGAATAATTTTATCTCTCACTTATCTCTAAGGGATCGTAATATTGGCCTTAACTTTATAACTTACTCATATAACTTTTGTGTGTTGTAATCCAAATAGGGCACTAACATGTTTTGCTCAAATTGCGTCACCAAAAAGTTGTTTACTCGTTCCATAAAATTCATAGGCTGCTTGAAAGCACTGATAAATGACGGTACGTACGATAACTGTTGGGGATTTCCTACAAATCGATGGATTTGTAGAGCTGGCTGTATCACCCACGTCATGACAATGGGACAACGGAAATGTGCAGCTAAACCAATTTGGTACTCGTTCATAAGGAAACCAAAGAGTAACAAATCGTAATCGCCGGCACGACTGTTACGCAAAAACTCACGCATCCATGGATGCCGCATGATCTCATCCGCTCTGTTCATATATTGACGCATTCTCACTGTGACGGTCTTCAGAAAGGACATACGTCCATTAACCACATCGAACAAAGTTTTCGTATACTTCTCGCTGACATCGCTGAGCTGTAGTCTTATGTGTTTGTAGGTAGCATTCGGGTAAACATTTTCGGTAATGCCAATTATGGTTACCTCGTGACCAGCGCGGGCCAGCTGTTCGGCAATGCTGCAGTGTATGAGCAAATGTGATTTGGTGCCGGTCGAAAAGAAGCCGAGTATGCGCGCAGCATCCGTTACCGGTACCAGCCCGATTGGCGCTAATATAGTGCAAATCAATAATAGTAACTGCGCGTTGTTCATCCTGTGGTGTACACTAAAGATCTGCTTCAGTTCAACGCTTGTAATAAACTAAACATTGTTGCGGTTGGGTCATTTCTTCTTACTATTAACTTTGGTATAGTTGGTGCGTTTGTGATAAGAGCGGTTTTGCTGATAAAGAGATTAAGAGTTTTCTTTACTACATGCAGAATCGAAGACAATAGTGAACAAAGAAGGCGTTTGAATGTTTGGCTTAATATATTTATAGAATAAATATTTTCTTTCGAAAAAGAAGTATAGAGATGCATATTTTTGGGTAACTATCAAGCTTAAAATACGTCCATATTTCTGCACCGTCGGTTCTCTAACTATTCGAAGTATTGTACGCTTTTGTTCGGTTATGAGTTTGTTTGAAAAGTAATAGGACTGATTTTCTTCCGCCGCGACTGTATTTCGAAGGGTGTGCGCACCGACCGTATTCGGCAGAGGGCGTTCCTAGCTAACGAACGAGCGGCTGGTCAGTGTCTCAGAGACAACACAGCCGATTGGAAGTTGCACCACGACAACACCACCGGCACACACCGCTTTTATTGTGAACAGCCGCCTAACGAAGGCCGGCGTCCCACCGCTTCCGAAGCCGCCCTACAGCTCAGATATGGCCCCCGGACTTTTTTGTTTGCTTGCTAGAAAAGGCAGATACTATAAATCTGAAAAGCAAGCATTTTGACACGACAGAGGGGATACAAGCAGCATGGATCTCGGCCCCCAAGGCCTTTCCGAAGAATGCGTTACTAAGGAAGTTTCTAAAGAATTGTAACGATTGGTTGAATAAATTTTTATAAATCGACTCAGTCCTATTACTTTCCGGACAAACTCTGTATGCAGCAATGTGGATTCATTCTGAGGCAAAATTTCGTCGATATTTCGAGTCTTCTGCTCCTTGTTGTTTTACCTGCTCCTCGTAGATAGTTAATCCTAATTCATTAACAGTCCTTAGCACGGAATTGTTTTTTTGTGTGTGCCGAGCTAAGCTTAAGCCTTCTTCTTAAAAGAGTTTTAGAGAGATAGTTCGTTACTTCCAAGCACAATACATTTGCAATAGAAGCGCCGTAACACGTTTTAACTTAAGGTATTTATTCCATTCGGTAACCAGGAAGTTTTTAAAAACCTTGTCAGTCTCGTTCATGATTTGAAACGCATTCTTGTTCAATATAGATTGGAGCGCATGCACTTTTTGCAATCCATTTCTGATATATGTATATAAATAGATTGAAGTACATGTACTATTTGTCTAGTGCCAATGAACTTGACGCCTAAAGAGATGAAAAATTGATTGTCTTGACCTCATATAAAAAACAAAAAGTAAAGGGAATCGCTGATAGGAATTTTACCAGACGACAGACCTCTATACTGACTACTATAGTATATACGAGTATTTCGGTATTTTGATACTCAGTACTGACTTCTGTAGAATATATTTTCGGTATTAGTTATAAGCGGCGCTTACCTTGTGATCTTTTAGATATTTACGTCTCATTAGTCAAGCGAAGTATGTTGCTATGAAAGTATTGCCGATAAGAAAGTCTTGGGCTTAAAACATCTTTATTCCTGCAATATTCTCTTACTCTAGACCACGAAGATGAGAAGATTTTCTTATTGAGATGTATAGCTCATAGAAAACGACATAATATGAATCCAGATTCCAGAGGTCATTTATAAATTTTTTTCAGTCAGATTGTCCATTACTTTCGAACACAATACATTAGTAATAGAATCGTCGTAACTTATTTCAACTTAAGATACTCATTCTATTCGGTAATCAGAAATTTTTAATTGTGTTGATTTGCAACTCATTGTTGATATACTATATGTATATAGACTGGAGCGCATGAACTCTTTGGCGAGTGCTAAAGAAATTGTCTTGACCTTATCTAAAAGAAATGAAAGAGAATTGCTGATAAGAGTGCTGTCAGACGACATAGCTCTGTACTAATTACTATAGTATATGTATATCTCTAAGATATTTTTGTTTCATTAGCTGTTACTATCTTTTGCAAATATTTTATCAAATACGTCTCCAAATATGTTGGTCTACAAAAATATGTAAACCACCACCAGCCATGTTATCTGAAAAATTATAGATTAGAACCCGTCTGGCTCTATGGGAAATGTAAGAGGTGAGATTATGACTCAATATATTCCACATCGACTGTTGTATATTTAAGTAGATTGTAGCATATAATCTGTTTGACGTGTGCCAAAGCAGAACACAAAATTGCTATGACTTTAGGTAAACCAGTGAAAGTATTGGCGATAAGAATGCTACGAGGTGGCTCAGTGTATGTATTTGTAATTGTTTATTGAGTTATCGGCACTTGACGTGTTATCTTTTACACATAGTGCGGTGGCTCCAAAGTACAGCGGCTTACAAAAATAACCGATGTTATTTAGTAAAATGTAAGTCGTAGAAAGGAATAAGTTACAGATTTCGATGCAAAGCTAAATTAATGCTGCTTAGGTCTGAGCGGTTTTATATCTGTGTATTGAGGAACTATAAATCTGAACTGTCTCATAGTCAATACTCTTATAAGGAAAGAAGGAAGGTTGGGTTTAGGAAATGCGTACGTCTAATAATAACGGAAACCATACAGAAGCAACATATCGCAAGGTCAATTATAGAGCGGAACGAACATTATAATATTGGCTCTTTTGACAAAATACGAAAAGACTTTTTCGACTAGCCGATATGAACGCCCTCATACTGAAGATCTGCCTTCATTACATTTTTCTACCTACTCGCACATTTGGTGTCTGATTATTAGGCTTTTAACTCCCTTTTGTTGTACTTACTCATATAATTGTTGTGTGCGGTAGTCCAGATACATCATTAACGCAGACTCCAGCCATGTTGTAATGCAGTTTTTCACTCTTTGCAGAAAATGCATCGGCTGCTGAAGATGACTGGATATCTTCGGTACATATGCCATTTCTAGTGGATTACCAACAAAACCGTTGATTTGCAATGCCGGTTGCACTACCCACAAAACCACAATTGGACATTGAAAATGCGTCGCCAAGCCCATCTGGAAGTCGTTCATGACATAAGCGAAGAGCAAAAGATCAAATGCGTTCGCACGATTTTCAATTAAAAACTCACGCATTTTCGGCTGCCACAGCGTCTCGTTTGCCATACGCAGGTATTCTGCGGTTGTCACAAATAAGCTCTTTACAAACGAGTGCCGAGTATTAATCAGACTGTTTAGCGTTTTGTCATCTATAATACCGCCATCCGGCAGCTGCAGGTGTATATATTTGTATGCGACATTCGGATAAACATTTTCGATAATACCAATCACGGTGACGTCGTGTCCGACGCGCGCCAACTGCTCGGCGACGGTGCAATGCAGCAGCATATGCGATTTGGAATAAGTGGCGAATAGCCCAAGTATGCGCGAACCGGTCGCTACGGAACGCGGCACATTACAGACGAAACAGGTGAGTACGTTTATTATTACAGTATTCAATTTTATTATAAACATTGTATTTTCGCGAGATTTTTCGCCGCACATGTGTATTATTTCGATATTACTCGCACGTAGCTGCATTTAAACTGCGCTTTTCTGCGCTTGAAACTTGTGTAATAAGAAATGCTTGCGTGCCTCAGCTCTGCCAATTTTTTTTGTGCGCGCACAGGAAGAACGAAAATATTTTGATAATAATGCGTTGCTGCAGTGTCAGCCTCAAGCAGTAAAACTCGCAAAATCAAGCAAGCGTCGGTCAATCAACTCTGATGTTGTTGTGGTGATATGCCTGTGGTGAATATCACTAGGTGATGGTACGTCGTTAAGAAGTGCGAGAGTCGCGCAAGTTCTTGTGCGCTCGTATATAGCTGAAAGTCAACAGATCATATGCTTTCTTATTCGAATCCGATGTTTCGAATTGTATATTCACATTTTTCACATGTATTCCTCTAAAACTACTGAACTCTTTTTCTTGTTATTGCTCGGATGACTAAAAAAATATCACACAGTGTTGTTGAATATTCTTTCCTCGTTTGGGAAGACGGTATAATTTTCACAACCCGAGCTCCAATCCTGCTCAACAGACTTTACTAGACAGTTTTCAGTTTTTGCTCGAATGAAGCTCCAGTTATCGAATCAGGTGTTTCGAGGCGCTAGATTTCTTGTGTCGCATATAAAACTCTTAATTCTAGTCTAGAGAAACTGTTACTCTAAATAGCAGAAACATTATAACCATAGCAAAACACATTATTATGGCAAAATTCGTTTTTTTTATTAAACATAGTTCTTTTCTAGGATGATACACTGATTATATACCACTTTTGTAGTCCCATTTGTTATTTGCTTCAAAGTTCAGTTTCGGCGGTTACCTCTCCATTCGATCACTTTTCTACTCGAGGAAATTCTTTTATATCTGACAAAACTGTTACTCTGGAATGTCGCTAGCTCTTGCTCGATAAATAGTCCAGGTCTAACAGAATTTTGTAAGATCCAGTCTATTACTATTGAAAACTATAGATCACGTCAGGTTGATAGCTCAGGGCATTCAATATTTTCTATTCATAACAGATAATAAAACTGTAGAGGTTTTGGTGTGAAATCCTTCCCTGCAGATTATCAATTAGTTACAATCTTGTATATAAAGGAGTGTAGTGCTGATCATAGCTCGACTCTCAGTATAAAAATATCTTCTAGACAGAGTTTAAAGCTCTAATAACTTTTGCTCTCCTAGGCTATGCAATGCATTTGTACTCGTATAGATAAGTTCTATCCGCATCTGACCGAGGAAATTCCATGAAGTTTACTTCTGATTAAGTTCCTGGATATATATAAATCTTGTGGAAGAGTTATATTTTTATTGTTAGACAAGCTCCTACCTGGGAACCAGTTTCCGTCGCCTTATTGCAACAAAACCACAAGAAATGTTCCCATTTTTTAACTCCATCCGCGCGGTATGAATCAATTATAAGTGAATTCCACCAAGTATTGTCGCATTGGTGATCGCAAAATATTTTACTTTTGTATTAAAACATCATCAATCATACTACATCTTCTACAATCTCCCATCCAATGAGCTCTGGCGTAACATTGCTGATAATTATCAGTAGATTTCCCTTATGAATGCGCGAAAAGCGTTCAATTAAATTATTTAACGGCAATACTGCCACCGGGTCTCTGCGCAATTTTAATTGAACATTATTCAATCATTTGTTCAACATTTATCCATACGCGAAGCAGACTTAACCGTGTGCCTGGGCCGACAACTGCTTAATGGTAGCGGCACAACGCTTACAACTGTGAATTTCATTGTAGAATTACTGGCTCAGTGAACTTATTGTTGCCAAAACTGTCGTTGCAGTGTGAAATGAGTGTATGACTAATACCTGACGGTTCATGGGTTCAACTCCCAGCCGAAGGGTTACTGTTCGGAGGATAGTATTCCAACTTCCGAAAGTATTTCTGCCATAAAGGGTTGCTCTTGAGTGTCGTTTAGCTCTGTGACTTAGGGTTTGTTAAACGGGTTTTTCGGTTTACACAAGGAATTGGCGACCCTAGCAGCAACAGTAGATCGGCCCAAAGTCAATCAAACATATTATTATTTTTACTACCGTTCGCTTTGTTCGACTGTGGGAGTGTCCTCCGTTCATTTATTGGCCATCTTGTTGAATGGTTCATTGGGGAGTTGTCAGCGAATGACAAAAGGTAATAATTTAATTATTTTACTGCATGTAGTACCAGTGTTGCTGCCATTATAGCAAATATCATTTTGCTAGTGTTGTTTTTGTCAATGCCACTTCGCTTGCCATATTCTCTCTGCATATTTATTTGACCTATAAACGTAAATTTCGTGTCGCTATTAATTTGAGTTTCAATAAATTCGAAGTTTTTGAAGTGTCTAATTAAGCCAAGTACACCCTTGCAACTATGCTTTCGTCACTGTGCTGTTGCGGTTTTTCGAGTGTGTTCAAGTACGACGTCAGCGTCGTGTTGACTATTCATTATGTTCTTCTTCAGTTTAATAATTGTCAATTATATCGCAAACGTAGTCATAAATTGAGCTTCTCTATCGCGACGCAATCACTTCTATTAATGAGCTTTGTGAGACAAGAGCATTGTGAGACAACTACACATACTATACATTAATTGCCTAATTTAGATCAAAATCAGTTAGAAATCGTGAAGGTCATTTTACATTTAATTTATCATATTTCATTTCAATAGCAGAGAAAATCAATATTAAATGTGCGCTCCAGCATATTTCTATAAAGCTGTGTTCTCTTGAACGATCTTGCGACTGAATGAAAGCATTCTCATTTTCTTCCTGTGCGATCTCTGAGCTGCCGCTTCTGTCTTTTATCTCTCAATATCCTACATTATTTCTTCCTTAACCTAAACTAATCATTTTCAATCTGTCGGTTTGTTTCCGGTATAAGAAGTTACTAAAAACAGCGAACCCATTGCAGTTATCTCGTCTTATTCAAATAGGTCCGATTTGTCGATTTGTCTGAATTGAGGTTCGAATAAAAGAGTGTGAGTTCATGCGTATTTGTCAAAGCTGTTTCATCTTATCCAAAGAAGTCCGAAGTTCATGCGAACCCGTTGGAGATATTGTGCTATTCAAAGACGACTAAAAGAGAGTGAGTTCATTCGAAGCCATCTTTGTCATCTCGTCTTATTCAAAGATGTTCGATCTAGCTTAATTAAGGTTCGCTTAAAAGGTTATGAGTTCTCGTGAACCTGTCCGAGCTATCTCGTCTCTTCCTAAGAGATCGAGTCTGTCACAATCAAAGTTCGATTGAAAGGGTGTGAGTTCATCCCACCCCGTCGTAACGAGCTTCTCGACTAGCAAAAAGCACTTTCATTCTGATTCTATTTTAGGCGGTTCGTAGGACCAAACTAAGACGCCATTTCTGTTAAGTTGGGTCCTATAAGCTAATTTATTTCATATTACTTTCCATGGTTATTCGGTATTATTTTGATGGTATTATTAAAGTGACTTTATTCAAGAATTTCACCGAGTAGGACAAAGAATTTTGGTATTGCACTTGAAACAACACTGTAACATAGAATACTATTATTTACCTTGGGACGCTTACGAATTGTTTGAAATCGTCCCATTAAAGGTATCTTGTTGTAGTTATAGCACTTTAAAAACGGAGGTTGAAAATCTCAAATAACTAGCAACACAGTTATGTTCGGTTAATACCTGTCGGCATACCTTTTACCATCGCGCCTTTCCGTGAACTTGCACACTAGATCTGTAATCGAAAGCAAACACGCCTAGTTGTATGCAACGTTTTACCATTCAATGGAGTGTTGCCAAAATTAATGTCGCCATAAACACTTCAACATTTACGAGCTAGCAGTGCCTTCCGGTGCTTCCACTGCAATTGCAGCAGTCAGTTACAAAGGGGCCTTAAGGGGGGCTGTAGGTGTTGAGATATTGAGGAATAGCTTCCCCAGTGCTTTCGTCATGAAAACAAAATTAAAGCGACAAAATATGCAAAAAGTACAACTGAAATGCAACGACATGACAACTCGTTAAATACATACACATAAAGACAAACATACATATGGACACTCTTATAACAATCTAGATCTGTGGAATATTTATTCACCTCACCTGCTATCCTTTACAAGCAGCGCTGTCGATTTTAAGCTGCAGCAACATTTTCGTGACTCCTCACAATGTGTTCTTTATGGATTCAATGCAAGTGGATGCCTGCTAGTTTCATAAATATTCCTCCAAATACATACATACATATATATTGAGTGCACTTTATGTTTCAGCTATTTTTAAGCGAGGAAATTGTTGAAAAGAAAATGTTTGGGGATGAAAAAAGTCGTTTTAAAGCTTTTTAATTTTCTACTTTATAATTTGGAGGAGAGAGTAAGGAAGGTATCACTGCTTGTTGTGCGGAGCTATAGGGAAGCTATAGTGAGAAGGTGGGGACTCTCACTAAATGTTAGGGGTTAGGGTCTTGGAAACCGTAGTCAAGCCAATAATGTACTGTGGGGTATTCGTATGGTGGAGGGCGCTCGAGAAGGCTACAGCTGCTTGGTTTTCATGTGTGTTGTTGAAATATCCCATCACTTTATCCTCACATTTAAACACTAAGGCTGAAACATAAACTTACCTCCGGCGAACGTTTCAACAAACTTCTGATAGGCTCAACATACTTTGTCGTTCTGTAGGGTTCTTATGGAAATATCTGGCTAGTGCAGCTGCCAGCGTTTCTTATATAAACGGGTAAGCCAGGAGGAGAAGCCCGCCGGAATTTCAGATCACATCACACAGCATGAAATAGCCAATCGCAGCTACGTTGCGTTTCTTATATAGGCGGGCAAACCAGCCGGTATTTCATATCACATCACACGAACTGGGTAATTTCACACGATATGACCGACACATTACGAAATGACTGGCTAGTACAGCTACCATATAAGAGTTTTTTTTATTAACCACAATGGATCGACGGTCTTACCTGTCCAAGCGAGTTCTCTTATGATTGACCTCT